TAGGCCAGCCTGAGGGGTAGGCGAGGCGGGCGTCTCTCTCCGCGCACAGTGGGCCAGAAGACCGGTGGAGGCGGCCAAAACTCTAGACGCGTTTTGAGCTCCAGAGTCGCTAAATGGGACTCGAACCGAGCGTGTGACCCCACCAATGGATTCCTCGTTCGGAGAGCAATCCGTTGGTGGGGTCACACGTTCGGTTCGAGTCCCGTTTAGCGACTGTGGAGCTCAAAACGCGTCCGGGATTCGCCTCCACTGGCAAATCCACTGTGCGACGAGACGTGCGCGTGGACGGGGGCAGTCAGGAGCGGGTTAGCTGAACCCAGAGGCCAGCGTTACCTAACCCTCGCCGGACGGTGGCGAGTGGGGGTAGGGGGTGGGGGTGGTGGCCCAGGGCGGCAACCCAGCCGGGTTGCAAAACAAAACGTACGCCTTTGGCGTCCTTTGGCGGCCTTTGGTGCGGTGCAGTGGTTTCCGGTTGAATAACTTGGCCACTCCCCCAGTCCGGCCTGTCCCCTGTACGCAACACGCTGTTGCTCTCCGGGGGCCTAGTATTGCTTTCACCCCTGATTGCCTTTCACCCCTCCCCTCCCCCTCCTCTTGCCGCGCTGTCGCCTCCCGCAGGACACAAAGCCCCTCCTGCTGGCTCTTGTAGGGCCGAGAGCTGCCGAGAGCCACGTGCATGTGTGTGAGGGTGTGTGTGTGTGTGTGGGCCTGTCTGTGCCCGCTCGCTCGGAAGAGTCAGTCATACACTCGTGTGAACCAGCAAACCTCTTGCCCTCGAGTCCTTTGTCTCGGTGATAATGCGCCTCAACGCCGACATCCCCCCTCTCTCTCTCGCACCCTTCCGGGACGCCCCGCGAGTGAGAGAGAGAGAGAGAGGAGAGAGAGAGAGAGAGAGAGAAGAGAGAGAGAGAGAGAGAGAGAGAGAGAGAGAGAGTGCTTCTCGCGTATCGCGCGATCGCGACCTCGGCTCCGCTTGCCCCTCCTGATACCACGGCAACCACGCACCCGAGCCTAGGGAGCCCCGCCACTGGTTCCACCACTGGTTCGGCCACTGCCGCCCCCCTGCGCGAGGCTAGAGGCTCTCTGCTGGGTTGCCGTAATAGCTGGCGAGGCGGGCAGGGCGCAGGGCGCAGCACCGGGCGGCGAGGCCTGCAGCCCTACAGTCGTAAAGGGCCTTCCCTTCGCCCCGCCCCGCCCCGCCCCGCCGCCAGTCGTCACCTGCGACATAATTCAACCGCCCTGCAGCCCTTTGGCCTCTCGGGCCGCCGCCCTTCCGACTTCTAACGACTAGTAACGAACAGCCGGCCGCCCACGGACAAAATCCCGGACGCGTTTTGAGCTCCAGAGTCGCTAAATGGGACTCGAACCGAACGTGTGACCCCACCAATGGATTGCTCTCCGAACGAGGAATCCATTGGTGGGGTCACACGTTCGGTTCGAGTGCCGTTTAGCGACTCTGGAGCTCAAAACGCGTTCGGGATTTTGTTCGCCTCCACCGGTCTTCTGGCCCACTGTGCACCGATTTCTCATGGTTCTCCTCTGCCTCCGCACGGCTGGGCTTACTCTACCAGTTGCTCCTAAATCAGTAAATCAGTCACTGGGTGCCCGCGCGGCACAGCGCGGCACAGCCTGTCTCTCTCGCGCCCCGATGGACCCCCGTGAGTGCGACAGAGACAGCGGCCGAGTGACTCTTCGAAATCAGCCGGCCGGCCTTTCAAATTAGTTGGCGAACGAGTAGTGCCTGGCCGCCCTGGCCGCGACGCAACGAGCGAGGCGTCCCTCACTTCGCTCTGTCTCTCTCGCTCCCTTGCGGGCAGCCGCGTGAGCGCGACAGAGACAGAGCGACGCGGCCTGCGGGTTTAAACGGCGCGGAGGGCGCCTAGCAGTGCGTGTTTATGTTGCGTTCCTCGTTTCCCTGTTTTCCCTCGACGCCTACACTGCAAGTCGTGCTGCGCCGTGCTGCCACACTGCTTCCGGCCCGAGCGCGCCACTCGGCGCCACGCCACCCGTCGAACCGAACGGGAACGGCCGAACGTCGTGCGGCTAATTTCGCATGCACACTGCCTTAAACAACAACAACAATCCAGCGCGGCCGGGACCGCACAGTGGGCCGGAAGACCGGTGGAGGCGGCAAAATTTCTATACGCGTTTTGAGCTCCAGAGTCGCTAAGCAGGCCTCGAACCGAACGTGTGACCCCACCAATGGATTCCTCGTTCGGAGAGCAATCCATTGGTGGGGTCACACGTTCGGTTTGAGTCCCATTTAGCGACTCTGGAGCTCAAAACGCGTCCCGAGTTTTGACCGCCTCCACCGGTCTTCTGGCCCACTGTGCAGCGCCGCCGGGGGTCGACGCACTGGAAAAGTGCCGCCCGGTGGACGGAAATAGAACTAACCGTAGGTCGGGGCTCGGGGGAGTAGAGTCGGGGGACCGCACCCTCGCTCCAGCTTGCTCCAGCTCGCTCCAGCTCGAGATAATCAACGCTCGAGGGCGCCTCCGAGGACACCTCAGGCACATGCTTTGTTCTTCATTGCACTTTGCTTACCCCCCGGTCGACCCCCCTCCCCTGCCTCTTTTCCTCCACTTTTTTTTTGCGTTTCGTGCTGCCAGCCCTGCGCGTTTCGTTTTAATTTAGGAGTGCAGCCTCTAACTCCTCATTAAACAGGACGGGCCCGCCTCCGAAACAACAACAACAACTCGGCCGCGAATCACAGAGGACAGCGTTTCGGACGTGGCTTTTCGTGCCCGGGGGGTCGCAAAAATGGAGGTTAAAGGCTGGCCCTGCTTTTTTTTTTTTTTTGATAAATGGTTCCTTGCGTGTCTTTGATGCTCTGCGTGTGTGGTGCGTGGTTTCGGTGCCACACTTGTTCCTCCCGAGTCGGTCGGTGAAGAACGTGGTGTGTTGTTTCGTTCCGAGACGTTTCGACTCGAAGCTGGTATGGGCCCGGCACTTGCTGTGCGGGACAGAAAATTAGGTAAGACGGAGGGGCGTTTACCAGTGGCGTGCGCGTGCATTGCGATTGGCCAGACTGTTGCGTGCGGCACGCGCGAGCACGCACGCCGGGGAGGGAGCGGGCACGGACACGCCCCGATGCAATACCCGTTCAAAACGCGCCCAAAAACAGCGCGCCAAAAACGAGCGCCAAAATTGCGCGCCAAAAATGCGCGCCAAAAACGCGCGCCAAAAAATGCGCGCCAAAAACGCGCGCCAAAACGCCAAAACGGGGCTGCCCGTCGGGCGACACGGGTTCTTCCAGATGGATTAGTGTCGCGGAGCCCCAACTCCGTGAGGGGAGAGCACTGCAAGTTACGCCATCGCCCCAGCGGGGGGCCCGAGCAGTGGAGACAGGGCAGTGACGTCACGGCGGTCGGAGGAAGGACCGAAAGGGCCCGCAGGGACGGGCATGGCCTGTCATTGATGAGTGAGCTAAGCCCGTTCTGAGGGCGTGGTGTGAGGCCCCTGCCAGGCCACCCCGTAGAAATGCCTTCGTGAGGGCACCGTAATCCAAGCGCCGGATTTCGGGCTTAGCCCGTACTTCGACCTACGCCCCTGCGAGCAGCGCAGCCAGGGCGCAGCCCCCGCCCCGATCTACTTAACCTAGGACACGCCGGGGCCGTGCCCCGCACTGCTACGCACTGCCTGCCAGCCCTGCCAGCCCTGCCATGTCATGCACGGAGGTGCGCTGCCAGACGGCTCCAGATTATTCGAAGGGCGAGGGGCCTTGTCGTAATCTCTCCAACGTGATGAATGATGCGTTGCTGAATCCAGGCGTGGCACAGTGGGCCAGTGGAGCGGCGGCGGCGGCCGAAACTCTAAACGCGTTTCGAGCTCCAGAGTCGCTGATCAGGACTCGAACCGCACGTGTGACCCCACCAATGGATTCCTCGTTCGGAGAGCAATCCATTGGTGGGGTCCCACGTTCGGCTCGAGTCCCATTTAGCGACCCTGGAGCTCCAAACGCGTCCGGGATTTGGGCCGCCTCCACCGGTCTTCTGGCCCGCTGTGCGTCGCCTGCCTGGCTTACGGACGGCCCCTGTCTCCTTGACGGCCGAGCCGCGAGGGCGGAGCCGTCGGCGTGGGGTAAGGCGGCGCACAGTGGCGTGGGTCCCGCGTCGCCCCGTTCCGCCCGCAGAACCATCTCGCCTCGCCTCGCCCGGACATACGGGAGCACTGTGGTTGGGGACGCAAGGCATCGAGGGCGACAATTTGTCGATTAGTGGCCAAATGAGCGTGGAGGGGAAATCACAACGAGTGTAGGGTCACCGAGGAGGGTTTCTCAAAACGAACCGCCGCCGCCGCACAGTGGGCCAGAAGACCGGTGGAAGCGGCCCAAATCCCGGACGCGTTTTGAGCTCCAGAGTCGCTAAATGGGAATCGAACCGAACGTGTGACCCCACCAACGGATTGCTCTCCGAACGAGGAATCCATTGGTGGGGTCACACGTTCGGTTCGAGCCCTGTTTAGCGACTCTGGAGCTCAAAACGCGCGCCGGTCCGTTTCCGCGGAGGGGTGGTGCTGCGGGGGCAGTGGCGGAGCGAGAGCGAGATGGATGCAGGTTTAATCGTTTTCCATTATTTACTGTTATCGCGCGGCGGCGCGGATGGACGCGGAAAGCGTTCGTGTCCCGATGAAATATTGACGAGCAATCCGGCAGCCGTGATCTCGCGTCGGATTGCTGAGAGCCCCGCGCCTAGCTTGAGCTTGCTTTAGCTTCGACGTGACAGGTTAGGTTTGCCCTCCAAGTGCCGGCCCACCGCGTTTGATCGGTCGTTGACGGCCTGCCGGCCTTCCAGCATGCTTCCAGCGTTTGTCGTGGCAGACCTGTTGCGAGCAGCGAACTGCCGAGAGCCCCATTTGAATTAATCTTGCAGGCCTTGTGTTCCGTCTGGGGCGGACTAGGCGGACCTGTCCGCGGACATACCCCGTCAGCGAGAGACTGCGCGGGGCATCGACATGGAGTAGCGACGCCGCCTAACCATGTCCCTCCTTGTGTGTTGCAGGACTTCCCTGTTCATCATTCTGAGTTTCATCTACGCCAAGCTCCTCGTCGTCGTCTGCATTGCCTTTGTAGTTTCTGAAGTCGCCAACAACGCCCTGCCCCTGTTCTACTACGAGGTAAGCCGTGATGCTGAGGAGAATGTGCCCACCTCTTAGTGCTGAGACTTATTGGCAAAGTTTCCAGTTGCGTTCAAATTGCGTCCTTGATTTTTCTTCGCAATTCTTCGCAAACTTAAAAAAAACAATATCTCTTAATTCGCAAACTTTTCAAACAATTTCTCTTAATTTTTGTAGCATTTGAAACTGATGATGGGCTTCTCCTCTCCCCGCAGGGCTTCTTCTCCTACCTGTACGGCGCCAGCATCTTCTTCCTGCTCTACGTGTTCTGCTTCCTGCTGCAAGAGTCGGCGTGCTGCGCGGGCAGCCCCGACGCGGCGGAGCGCGAGCGCCTCAAGCGAGAGACGGCCGCCAGCAGGCAGCGCGAGAAGGACCGCCAGAAGGCCGCCAAGGAGAAGGAGAAGGCGGACAAGGACAAGGCCAAGAAGGACAAGAAGGACGACAAGGGGAAGGGCGGCAAAGGGGATGCCGGTGCACCGCCCGCGCCCCCCCAGCCCGACGCCCCGGCCGGGGCCAAGCAGGCCCTCTACCCGGTGAGTAGGAGCAGGCCCTTTGGCAGGCCTGTCCCCTGGCATCGCCAACCCACATGCAAACCGACAAGAGCAAATCATTTAAAAAAATCACTTTTACAAAAAAAAAAAAAATTTATTTTTTCAAAAAAAATTTCTAGTATTTTCAACTGCATCTCTTTACACTTGTAGCGCTCATATATTTACAGCTGTATCTGTGGTCTTGTAGCTTCACAGTTTAGCCTCTTGTTAGTGTTTCGGAAATATTTGCCAAAGGCTAGTAAACTCACTAAAGCATTCAGCACCAGATTCATTTTTTTTCCTTTTTTGCTTGTTTCTACGTTGCTTCATTATGAATTTATATTACTAGTACCATTCAGTTCTTTAAATTTCATTTTGCTGTCTTAAAAATGTATTGAGCTTAGCTATGCTTTAAAGCAATCTGTCACGCCCATACATACCAGAAAAGAATAATATTTTTATTTCTTATAGGTCACAGTTGGAGAGTACTGTACTTGTCTGGACCCTTGTAATTTTCTAGAATTATTAAGTTTCGAATTCCCACACTCAGTGTGATGATTCATCTTTCATGTTTAAACTGCTTGACTTCGTCACATTTTCATTCCCATTCCTGTGTGCTGGTTCACATTTATGGAAAGATGCTGAAGATCCGACAGTCACAGTATTGATTTGCTCAAAGTAATTGTAACCTAATTACTATTTGCCCACATGTTTTTAAAATAATTTAGGAGAAGTCCAATCCTACCTAAACACTTATATTTTCTAAGTCCTCTAGACATGAACTTTCCCTTCAATCTTTGTTACGTATTTCACCTTTTTTTTTTTGTTCTTGCCTAAGTTTTGACAATTTCATCTGTGGTTTGAGTTCTATTTGTGGTTTGGGTTTTGGTTTGGGTCGGTTCGGCTGGCGATTGTCGCGCAGAGGCAGGAAGGCTATCCTCGTAAGATGAGAGATGTGGTGAAAATGAAACAGCAGCAACACCAACCGCAACAGGAGCCGTTGCTTGTGGGCCAGTCTGCCGTTTACTGCGTAAGTTCACTGCCGGGCCGAACCTTTGTGTGCAGTTTCATTTTGATGGGAAGGTGCCCAGACTGGTTTTTCAGTCGCAACTTGGATGAACCCTAGTTTAGTCATTCAGTTTTGCAGTTATTTTCACCTTTCATTTGAGTTATCAACCGAATTTATTTAGAAAAATTTATACCTATTTGTTGACTGAAAAAACATTTTGGGTGTTTTGGAAAAAATTCTGTATCATATGTGGTTTAAGGGCTTTGTCTTTCTGGCCATGAGGATCTTAGAAGAGCCCTTTCCTGAATGATATAGTTCTGGATTGGTCGCTTGTGATGTCTTTCAATTCATGTGCACTTAACTCTCTCATGGACTTTTTCCTGTGTACAGTACTTGCATTTCCCTGCTTTGGTTAACCATACTTCCCCTTCCTTCCTACAATGGGGTCTGAATTCTTGACTTTTTCATCTAATCTGAGTTATGCAAATAGCTCGATGTGCTTCCCTCAATCCTCGATGGAAGTGTTTTTTGCATGGTTCTTGACTGTCTTGACCTCCTTCCTCTTTGTATTGCAGGTCATCTTTCCTTGATCAGGGAATGCAGTTTTTTGCTTCTTAGCATGTGGATGCCATGTGAATGCCGTGTGAAAAGTAGTTTGTTGCTGTAGTAGTAGAGCACTGGCAAATATGCATGCCAACATAGTTTGCTTCGCCCAGTTCACTGAATTGTTTATTACCAGTGTTCACATTTTGCAACTTTCACTAATCCAAATTTTTAAAAAAATCATTTTAATAAAGCATTCTTAATTATAAAATGTTGCTCGATAAAAATTTTACATTTACACATTATGAAAAAAATACTTGTTTATGTTGCTCTTTTATTCATGTAATAAAAATTCTCAGGAATGTGATAGAACAGGTCCTTTAATTTATTTTCATTGCTTATTGGTGCAGCAAGATGCTGTCGAAATGGAAGGAGGTTTGGACCGTCCAGTTGGAAGGAAACGCAAGACATCTCAAAACAATTCCAGCCATGGTAGCTTCTTCCTTCGTGTTGGTGCCATTGGTAAGTTGATTTCTCGTAATAGGCATATCACCTGTTGTTACAGTTTATCTTCTTGCATTGAATGAATTTCTGACCAAGGTCTCACTTTTTTCTTACAGCTTTTGGACTGGGCACCATGATTTACACTGGTCTTGAGTTCGGTACTTTCTTTGAGACACCCATGTCATCTACCAAATGCTACAACATTCTGCGTGGTCTCAATCCACTTCTCCAGATGGTTTTCACATTTATGCAGATGTATTTCATCTTTATGAACTCTCGGGTAAGAGCAAAGTCAATTTTTCTCTGAACTTTTATGTCCCTAAAACTATGACAAGTTTCTAAAATGTAATCAATTACTTATAACAGCTCAACATCCACCGCTTCAAAGTGATTGCTCGCTTTGGCCTCATGCACATTGTGGCCACTAATATCTGTGTGTGGATCCGCACTCTCATGCTTGAGAGCATAAAGGAAATCTCAGTTTATATGGCTTTGAGTGATCAAGGAAAGCAGGCTCTCCTCACAACCCACGCTACTCCACTGTTCTATGGAAATGGCAAGGGGCTGTCTGGTCTGGGACTCGGCAAGTCTCTCAGCACCACTGGCAAGACTGGAGGCACCAACTACGGCCAAACAGGAGGTGGTTACGGACAGACCGGAGGCAACTATGGCCAACCTGGCGCAGGTGGAATAATTAGTGGCTACGGAGCCAATGACCTAGTTGGTAAGTTCATTTCTTTAAATTTTTTGACTCAAACAGCAGATAGTTGATAGATAAATATTGTGAAGTTTCCTTGACTTTCTTTAACTTTCAACATTGTCTAACTTCTGCATGGTGTGTTTTTGTAACCCCTATCTGTGTAAGTTGTCTATGGTCCTCCTATGTTTTCTGATAAAAATTTTCCAGGGAGGTCTTAATTTCTGTTTCAAAAGTCTACCTTTTTTCTCATGCTTTCTTGTGCTTCCTATCTTGGATTTTATTCGATTCCATCCACACTGTCATTATCTTGACACATTTGTTATTATGCTTTATGAAACTTAAGACTAAAGCTGTTAAATGGTTCATTCACAAAACTGATAGGGTTTCTTGTTTTTTCTTGTGTTGCACTTATTGTTGTGTGAAGTGTGTGATTGAGAATTTGGGCAAATAGCACTTTGGCTTTGATGCTTGCAGAGACTTTCCAGCCCAACCCTCTGCGAAGTGCAAACATGGTTGTGAGCACGGTTGCTACCGCTGGCTCATATGCAGTGAAGGCAGCCCAGACCACCATGAGCACGCTTGCATCCACTGCTGCTACCACGTTGAGAACCCTGCCAACCACTCTATCCACTTCCACAACTACCACTTCCACTACGACAACCACGCTACCCCCATCCTCCACAACCCCTTTCTTGACCACGCTGGCAAGCACAGCCGCGTCCACCCTGGTCTCAACCACCACCTCCACAACCCCACAGTCTGTGCTACGACAAACTTTTGCCACCATGATGCCAGGTATGCCAGTGTAATGCAACCTGTAGTCAAGTAGCTCCTGTTTTCTCTTTCGTTATTTTTCTGTTCTATATTTACCAAATTTTTCAACATTTCAATCTATTACTACTATTGAATACATTGAACATAACATTGAATACACATGAAAAGTGTTTTTGCCTGAAGATAAATGGGACGTAAAAGATTGAAGCACCCTTGTAAAAGCACCCTCTTTTTTTCTATTGATGATTCCTTCCCAACCTGCTAAAAATATTTCCACCTGCCTTCTTTATCTTTACATTACGTTCATGCCAACTTTGTTTTCTTTCTTTCTAATTTGATATTCATCCTTTTCATCCCTTACTGAGACAAATTGCATTGCAGTGACTCCTGTACTGTATTCCCGTCTTTATGTGAAAGAGTCTGATGGAACCATTTTCATTTTCCAGATGCTCCTCGAATGCCGTTTGACCATGATGCTGGTATTAAAATGGGAGGAAATGACGAGATGGGGGGCACCTTGCCTGTGGCTGAAGCGTTGAAAGCTCTGGCATTTAACTTGACTGGACAGCGAATGCTGGACTCTGAAAGCTGTGTCCGCATCAACATCATGGGCAACATTGTGCGGGACGCTGCTCCTTACTTGTACCCCTTCATCATCGAGTACTGCCTCATTGGAGCTGCTGTTGTGTACATTATGTGGCGGCACATTGGTTACAACCCAAGGTATTTGGTTATTTCAATGCTCTTGTTTTGACATAGTATCTGTGGGTTCACAAGAGCTAATGTAAATTTTATTGTTACCCGTTTCCTTAGATATGTAACTGAGGAGGATCTGGAACAGCGCTTGGAAGCAATGCTTTCTCAGAGAGCTGTAGCCATTGCTCGTGCTCAACATGGCCGAGTCGACTGTGTTGGCGCCAGCAAAGGCCTTTTCTTCGGACTGCTGCTCCTCGTAGGCTCTCTCATCTGCCTCATCTTGTTCTTTGTCTTGATCCGCCACCCTGAGCTTGGAATTCTCGCAATTTACTTGGCTGACTGCTCTCATTCCATCGTCATGGTGCTCAGTATACTGGCCATCATTATAGGATTCTGCAGGTAAGAAAAAGTTCCGAAGAGTGCAGAGAATGTAAAATGTCATGTGCCAAAACTCCTTTTCCTGGATGCCATGCAAACTCTACATGCACTCTCATCATTTTCTTAATCTCAAAAATATAAAGAAGAGATAGTTGAACTATGATCTTTAGAATGATGCATGACTTTGTACGGGAACTTGAAATCTTAGAGAATGTGTACAAGGTGATTGTCATAGCTGTAATGAAAATACCTTTCCTTTTACTGTCAAGAAAGTATAAACTCTCATAGTGTAGGTAATCATTTTTATTTTGGCTATTGTAATGATCTTCTAATCTGCATGATTACCCCCTAGTAAAAGTTAGCTGGTTTTATATTTATTTACTCTCCTTTAATAGCTTTGAAAATTATATTTTAGGGAGTTGATGCTCAGTTTTGACAGTGTCAGTTTCCCATTTTTCTTGCCAGGACTAATTTCAGTCAATAGGTTCTAGACACGTTACAATATAGAACATATGAAAAGTTTACTTGGCCTGATTTCTACCTGTAGCCTTTGTTGTTGCTTCTTAGCAATGTTGTAGTTGATAGATTTGGTTCTTGTTTTCTTTTTTTTTTCCAGCAATAACTGTTGTGTTGACAGTTTTGGATATCTCTCATGTGAACAGCAGGATCAGGATCATGAGCAGTTTGAAATGGAGCAACGCGATGAGGATAATGATACTGACAATGAACTAGAACACCTTGCGCAGCATGTGCGCCATGAACCTTTTAACATGTATGTGAGATTTTAGATTTGTGCCGTTATGTGACCTTGTGGCACTTGGAGTGTCTCTTCCTGTGTGACTGTCACAACACAGCATGTTGGCACTTGACGATGGATCAGCATAGATTCATATGTTGTTACTGTGCTAGCAAGCAAGGTTCCTTCAACATGGCTTTCATCGGCTTTCTTCTGAGGAAGTGGCACATTGCACCCCATTTTAGCCGCAACCCTCTCCTGTTTGTTGCAACCTGTTGGTTGTCGACTTAAGTCAAACTCTTCTTGATATCCAACAATGGACTTTCACTTGTCCCCTTGCCTTTGAGAATTTTATTGATAACTCATAAACAATTTAACCAAAAAGAAATTCAACACGAGTTACTATTCAACCTCTTTTATTTTCAATTCGAAATGGACTAATAGTATTTTTATATCATGAAAAATAAATTTTTTGTCAGTATTTAGAATAATGGTAGATGTTTGCTGCATGAATGTGAAGTATCTAATGTAGCTCTTGAAATTGCTTACCCTTCTGCATGCCATTTTGAATGTGCACCATAATCTGTTTCGTCTTTTATGTCACTCCAAACACTTCATTAATTTTGATTCTGCTTAACTTCTGCTGGTATTCCCTAATTTTTTCTATTTTTGTGCAGGGTCCAGAGTCTGAAATTCAAGCGAGATGAGCAGAGCGACTTGAATGACATCCTTCTCCGTGTGTCAGCCTTCGGCCTCTTCATATACGCTACATTCAGTGTCATTGCTGGTTCTTTGCTGGCCACAAAAAAAGAGCCCAACATGCTTGTCACAGTGACCAGTGCTCTGTCAGTCCTCCAGGTCTGTGTCTAGTGTGCATCGTCTTACTGGTATGTTCTGGGGGGTGTTGCGAAGAATCTATATAAGCCATGTTTTCTGTTGCAGGTGGTCCTTCAGCTCCTCTTCATCGCGGACGTGTCCCGCCGCCGGGTGCACCTGCCCGAACACGACCGCAGCAAACCGGGAAGGCAGATCGTCACCTTCCTCTTGATTTGCAACGTTGCCATGTGGGTCATATACACGTTTGAGATGCAAAAGGTTGCTGCCAACCCAGTCCAGGTAAGCCGCTTGATCCTGTGTTTTCTCTCAACTTTTTGTAAAATGACATAATACAAACATTTGTACGCCTTGATTTCAGCTTGATTTCTACGGGTACCTTACCTGGGCCCTGGTGCAGCGCTTCACTTTGCCCCTTTGTGTGTTCCACCGTTTCCACTCCGCTGTGACTCTAGCAGAAATATGGAAGACCAGCTACAAGGCGCGATTGGAATAAGCTGAAATAAAATTGTGGCTGGTTTCTTCTGGGTCAAGCTGGAAAGTACAAATGCAAATCGTGAATGTAAGATGAAAGTCAAGAGAAGACATGTAATTTTTATTCATGTAAATGTGGTTGAGGTACCACTGCACTGTGTACATTCGCAATTGGGAGAAAGTTATCTTCAAGCTAGTCATTTGTGATGAAGGGAGCATGAAATCAGCATGTAAAAGGGTGATCAGAGTCATTTTCTCAGTGAAACTTAAGCTCTTTCCCCTCATTTTAATTTGATTATGATTACACCCTGTGATAGAACAAAGATGCATTTCCACCCTGAACCTAGCCAGTTCATCAGGACTGTATCATTTCAAAAACAAAAAATCAGCTCAAATTATTGGTCAGACTGTATTACCTGACCGTTTGGTTACCAACTGTATAGCACATTTTATATTTTGTGGGCTGCCAGGAAATTGTGAACAATGAAGTAGTGCTTTGACTACATGTGTTGAAAATGCCAAAGTCAAAAGGCGACCTGAGAATATGTTGCTACCAACTGTGTCAAATTTGTAGTGATTGTACATTTTCTTTCTATAATACTCTATGCAATTTTTGTGTATTTACAGTAATCATGAAATTCATTCATTCACATGTATGTCATTTCCATAGCCATTGTCTTGAAGCAAATTAATTAGAAAATCTTTTCTTTACTAATTTGATATCCTCATCTTCTATAGCATTAGGAAGATATGTAGATACTGTTGGTTAAGTGTTAAGTCCAAAGCCGAGTAAAAGTAATCATTTCCTTGTGCTTGAAAGCTATATTCCAAGTTATTTTCATTGTACTGTTTCGTAACATAGCTGTTAGCATCATAAATTTTTCAACATTCTTATGTGCCTGTACTTCTTTTATGCCGTAAATGTATCTTTCCATTCCTATTAGGATTTGTATCCCATATGGTTTCATATTGGTATTACACTTACTCCAAACCTTGACTGATGTGGGTGTAAGTCACAATTATTCAAAAAAGTAACTCTCTTTAACCTAGTCTCATTTACAATCCTTATTGACTGACATCCTGACATTCATCAGTATTCTTGACAGAACTGAAACATGTCGTATGTGAAGACATCAGTCAATGATTTACTGTGGCAAATCAAAGCTTTGTACATTTCACAATTTTTTAATCCTCGGGGCCATAATCTTTTGTGTGTTCTTGGTCTTGTTTGATTTTGAGTAGCATTAGGAGTCGATAATTAACTGTCAACAGCTCATCGGGTAGTACTTTTGGAGACATCCATGGGGAAATGAAGTTGTAAAATACATACACATCTATTTATTTACACTTGAAACCATTTAACCCTTAAAATTTGTGAAACCGCCCAATAAAACTAAAGTCAATAACAGGAATTTTGTTTAGATCCTAGCTTAGATCTTTCATGGCTTGTAGTCAGCAATTCTATAAAACAGAAATAAGGCAGAAATTGATATGTATACATTTGAGCAAACTGATCCTTCTTCAAAATTTTAGTGCATGCTGATGATGGCATTCCTAAAGAGATAGACAGAAGTTCAAAGTGAAGCGGACAAGGCCAATGTGTTGTAACTCAACTCGCGCATTGATATGGAGAGGGATGTTTTTTTCCCTAGACTATCATGTACGTACCTTATCTGCAATACTCAGCCTGAAGTTGTGACATTGTAAATTTGTATTTATAAATATTTTCTTTTGTGTCATACTGTAACTATAATAGCAACATATTTATATTTATAAAAAAAAAACAATTTTAGTCTGTTTACTGCTGATTATTTTAAAGTTTCCCAATGTTAATTATATATATTATTTATTTTGTACATAATGTTTGTGCCTATTTTTAATAGGACCCATTTCCTTTACAAAAGCTCACAAATCTGTAGAAGCATGGTGGGGGCTTCTGCACTCCCCATTGCTGGGTAGTTTGTTTTCCTTTGCCCATGATTTTGTTCTTGTTCCCTGTCTTTGGTACGTGACTCCATGTCCTGAGACTATTTTAATAAGTAGCCAGTATGTTCACAGTTGTGAACCACCTGCTGTCATGTGATGAACTGCATTTTCTTCTTAATTTTTGTTAATTTAAAAATCCCTGTCATTTTTCTTTCTTAATAAAAAGACAGTGGGGAATTTTTTTGTGTGAAACTTCACCGCCACAGTGTGTTCTTAATTGTTATTGTTTTGTAAAGCACATCACCTTGCAAGATACCATTTATAAAATAATTTGAGATAGCTGTGCAACAGCCTAAGTTGAAAGCCACCAACAAGTAAGCTGAAGGGACCATGGGGGAGACAGCAAGGAAAGATTGGAAGAACACTTAGGAGTGCTTGCTAGTTTTAGAGCTAGTTCAAGATTCCCCTTCATGATATTGCTTCAAAGTACTTGGATTGTGCTGTGCCTTGAAGTCTCTAGAATAACTCTTTAACATTTTCATGTTGAGGGGTTTTATTTCTCTGAAAGTTGAATCCTCATTCAGTGAATTTGTAACTGTGTCATTTTCTGAGACTTCCATTCATTTCGCTAAGTGCACCATTTCCTCACAATGTGATTTGAATTGCACATGTATGTCTTTGTGTGTCTGTTAAAGGTCATTGTTTACACAATTTCCTTGAGTCAAGTATGTTTTGATCACTGCTTTCAAAATTTTATGTTTCATTTTGATCTACATACTTTCTTTGCCATTAAACTTTTTTTTTTCTTTTAACAAAATGAACATGTATTTCTCTGATCTTTGTGACCAGCAAAGACCATACATAGATCATGTGTTTCTCATCAATCAAGCTGTAAGCTTTCTGAGCTGCTCAAAGTGAAGTCAAATTGCATAGACTGGTCCGGTGAAAAAGTTAAATGGAAATGGGCAAATAACAAAGGCATATTTCCAATATAGAATTTTCTCATGACCCAGCGTTTAGTTGTTCTTGTGTTTTTGTTCAATTTATGTACCTGTTTTAAGAAGGACCTGCTTGTTCTTGACCAACCAGCTATTTAATCGATGTTATATAATTCATTCCCAGTACTGGATGGAACCAACTGCCTTAAACATTTCAAAAAGAAATTCATGAAGAAAGTTATGTCAACCTTTGCTTCACAACACGTATCACTGCCATCTCCATCAACAGTAGTAATAGTAAAGTCAAATCAATAGACGACTCGTATTTACCAATTTCCTAGAATTTTTTTAATGTGTTATGTGATAGGCACATTTTTTATGTGCTTTGTTGTATGATAGCGTAGAATTAAGGCATACCGCTGTAATAGAGCTGAGTGAGCACAGAGTGATTAGGAAAAGAGTTTGTGATGGGAGTGTGTGATTGAGAGTATACGCTTTGCTGCTGCTGCAGTTGCTGCTACTGGTTGTGTGTTTGTATTTGTCTTTCTCAGGTGTATCTTGCCTAGTGCCACTTTATAACACAAACATTTTCTTTAATTAGATGGGTAAGCCTGGAACATAAGTGTCTTGTTAAGAACTAAAGCAATCAAGGAGATCACAATATTCAGATTGTTATAACATACTGTAACTCTCTAGTAATTCTGACTCAATTCATACCAAAGTGGATTTAGTGGTTCTATCTATGTGAGGCATGCACATATAAGTGCAGACACACTGCAAAAAGTCTGAAGGTACTCATTAGACTTCAGAGGTGGCATTTCTTTCAGAATGGTAGCATATGGATCACTATTGGGAGTGTGTGTTGGAGGAATATTTCTTAATAATTTAAAATTATCAGAAAAAAATTGGTCTTTCCTAGGGAGTATTCATCTGCCTTGGTGGTGTGCAAGACTCTTTCTCATAGTTCAGTTGTAAAATTTGTCTGTCTTGTGTGAGACTTGTTCCTATATAGGACTAATCTTTGTCTCATTAATGGCTCAATTTTAGAAAACACTTGTGTATCAGATGAAACTTTCAACAAAAGAAAATGTCATGTTTAGCATGTGGTGTATAGTTAGTGCTATAAAGATATAAATTTGGTGAAAGACCGGTAATCTTAGACGTTTTGTGCAGATCTTGAAAAAAGACATTTTTTTAAAAGTCTTATTACAAAAGAGGTGACCAAAGTTAGAGTTTTTACTCTGGTCAATTCTTTTGTGATAGACATTTTGTTGAATCATGTTATGAGCTGCCGTTTTAACAAAAAAGAAGCAGTTGATCTGAAGAGCCTCTAAAAACTATTGCATTTCTGACCAGGATTTGTTCGTTCCGCCAACAGGTATGCCATGGAACATGTTCTTTTTAGCAGCATAAGCAACATGTTTTGTACAAATTTAGCGTCTTTTGGAATCCTAAGGGAGCCAAAACCCATTTCTGTCCATTGACACCTTTCCTTTCAAATTAATTTTAGAAGAAAAAAAAACCATCTTAATTGTATCAAAAGTTGACATGTAAATTGACTTTGTACACATTTCAATATCTGAAATAAAACCACTATGAATAAACTTGCAATTCATTTGTTATTAATGAAAATGCCCGGTGCCCAATTGCCTTTGACACATTTTATTTGCTGTGAAATTGACTTTGCCCGTGACGCTGGTTGGGCAATAACTCACAGCATTCAATTATGTTGGATAATTCAATTGAATGTTTCAGTTCGATCTGAATTGGTAGGGGAAATGAGCTGCTCCAAAATTAATTCCTCAAATAAAGTTTTTATTTATTAAGAAAACCGGTGATACACTTTGCTTCACTGTAGGTAAAATGCATTGAAGCTGATGCTATCCCTCTGCTGCGTAAACACAACTTGACAAACCATGCATTATTGAAAATCACAATATAAGTAAGGATCTGAACCGTCATTCAACAAAAGCCTACTCGACACGAAAAAAACTGAATTCAAGGTTGCAGAAACATCATTCATGGTAGGCATTCAGTGCTGTTGGTTTGCAATCGCATCTTAATTCGATACAATTTGTAAGAGCAGTGTCTAGAATTAGACGAGAATTAATTTGCCCAGACGTGCAGTTGCCTGATGGTTTTGTTTAAAAGCTAGCAGAGAATTGAAATAGCACCGCAAACATGCAGTTCATATTCTGATTTTAAACTTGAAACAGGTGACAAATTTTGAAGTTGAACATTGCACTCATTCAATTAAATAGCAGATCCATAATTGTCTACATTTGATGCAATCTGAAAGACAGATTCCATCCACTGACAGGAATAATTGGTCAAAGAATCATATGGATCCATAACGTGTAGAAATTTGTGATTTTCTTTACTTCTAAAAAGAAAAGGAAAGAAAATTAACTACAACTTTATTTATGCAATTTTCTTTCTTTCCAAATGTTTTGTGAACCAATGAATGATTCAAATATTTACTAGCAACAACCCTTTAGTTTCAGGCATAGAGAGTATCTGTGGATATCACACGTTCAATGACCAAGGGAATCACAACCTTTGCATCGAGTCATAGAAAAAAATTGGTAACCAAGGAGTTCTACAAATGAGGATAACCATTATCTTTTAAGTTCAATGCACTTCAGTTGAAAGCATTACAGGACATGATTTTTAAAAAAAGTACCACTTAGAAACACAGTTTTTTAAAGAGTATTAGTTCATCCCATTGCATATTGCCATTATTGCTGAAAGCAAAAGTTTTTGACATACAAATAGACACATTCAGAACCAAACACACCTGACAAACAAAAATCCAAACAGCATTTTTTCCAAAATTAGACCAAGGACACATATATAGTTACTTCTAATTATCCGTACCCAACTTTTTAGAGTTAACACACTCCCCAGTTACGTATTGTAGTAGTAGTAGTGGTAGTAGTAATAGTAGTAATGCTAATAGTGGTAATAATGTTACTTTCTCTGTCTATTTACATGATTTACAAGAAAATAGGGCCAAAAGCGCTGGGTTTTGCCTTGGCGCAACAAAAATTCTGGACGGCCACCTCGCAAAGGAGGTAGAACTGAAGCTAAGGATACAGAATGTGGAGTGCCAAGTCACGCACATCAAAAGTACCCCTTAAACAAGTACGCACACAAAAGAAAATCAACACGTATGCAATTTTGATGGAAATGTGACTGCTTTCTTGTCAAAATTTCAAAGGGAAAAAAATCCAACTGTGATTTGACTACTTTCGTAGGGTAACATTTCAGCCCTCATTCGTCAACTGCAAAAATTACACCCTTAGATTAAATAATCATGCAATTGTGAAATAGTCATGGTAGTCTAGCACCAACAATTTTCAATCAGGCACATTACAGTTTTAGAACTATCAGCCACTCACAGGCACTTAAGACTGACTTTGAAACTGAAGAGTGCTGTCAGTTCACAGGGAACATGAGACATCAATATATGATACAAATTTTAGCACTAAAAAACGGTAGTTGGTTTTCGAGCAACCAGTCACTTTTCACGGACATGTCCATAAATCCGATCTCCAAGACGCCACCAACAGCACTCGCAAGGCCCGGGCCAGACAGACCACACTTAAGTTCCGGATCCCCGGCGTTTAGGCCTCCACCACTCTTCTTGAAGAGCACTGCACTGCACTGCACCCGAAGAGCGGTGATGCACTGGAAGGGGGCCGCTCTCCCGAGCGGGGGCACCCTCCCCGGACTATTCACAGCCCGAGCAGCGCCACCAGGAAGCTGAAGAGCACCACGAAGAACGGGTACTCCAGGCGGAGCTGGCCGCCGTGCTGCATGGCGGCGGGGTGTTCCCCTGCGACAGGAAGGTTAGGTTAGGTTAGGTTAGGTTAGGTTAGGTTGGGCCAGGCTGGGCCCAGTGGGTCCAAATCCCGGACGCGTTTTGAGCTCCAGAGCTCCAGAGGGCGGCACCCACCATTGAGCACGTGCACGACGACCGTCTCCGGGTTGGCGTTGGAGGGGTTGCAGGTGTACTTCCCCGAGTCGGGCTCCTTGGCGCGCTGGATCAGCAGGTACGACGTGGTGACGTCGCCCTTCTCCGTGATGACGGACACGCCGCCGCGCGGGGAGTCGTAGTTGATTTCCTGCACAACAAGGAGAGCGTCAAGAAGGGGGGCAGCGCACACTTGCCAGAAGACCGGTGGAGGCGGTCGAAATCCTGGACGCGTTTTGAGCTCCAGAGTCGCTAAATGGGACTCGAACCGAACGTGTGACCCCACCAATGGATTGCTCTCCGAACGAGGAATCCATTGGTGGGGTCACACGTTCGGCTCGAGTCCTATTAAGCGACTCTGGAGCTCAAAACGCGTCCGGGGTTTTAGCCGCCTGCGTCGGTCTTCTGGCCCACTGTGTATTGGGGTTGCCGGGCGGAGGCGCGGGGGAGGCCGTACAGACAAGTCAGGGGGGAAGCGGCGATCGCTCGGCCGCCGCCAGGGCCGGCCAGCCAGCCATGGGATGGGCCGCGGGCCCGAACCGCCCGTTAGGCCCTCGACCAGAACAAAACGGATGTATTGGCCGGGGCAGCAAAAGGCTGCCTCGCCTTCCTTTGTCAGTCTGTGTGTGTGTGTGTGGGGGGGGGGGATGGGGGGGAGCCGGCTGAATGGAAGGGCGAAAATGAAAAGGAGAGAGGGCGCCCAGGAATGGAAATAGCAAGCAGCTCCTAATACATCCTGGCCTTCTAACGTCCCGAAGTCCCGGAAGCAACCCCCATCAAACCGCCCCTCCGCTCCACCCGAAAACTACTGTTTCGGGTCAAAATGGTCAGTGTCAGGAGAACTGAGCGTGTGACCCCACCAATGGATTCCTCGTTCGGAGAGCAATCCATTGGTGGGGTCACACGTTCGGTTCGAGTCCCATTTAGCGACTCTGGAGCTCAAAACGCGTCTGGAGTTTCGGCCGCCTCCACCGGTCTTCTGGCCAATTCAGCGCGCGTCTGGAGAGGCGTGTAGTCCGGTTGACGTCCATCGCGCGCCATTTGCATACCGCCGAGGGGCTTATTTTCCATACGTCACCGACACTTGGCGTTTTACATAACTGGCGAGCGGAGCCGTGGCGCCTGCCTGTGAGGCCCTCCGGCCGAGGCGAGCCGTCAAGCAGTGCGCGAAAGCGTGTCGGGACGCGCACGGCACGGCGCGGCTGGTCTAGTTGTAGGGGACGGATGTTTCAGGACGGCGACATGGCCGTGCGCTCCTTCCCCCTCTCCCCCTCCCCTCCCCTCCCCTCCCCCGCTGCACGTCCAACTCACAAAGCGGACCGCACCGATGACGGCCGCACCGCCCGCATGTTGTTGAATTCAAAATTGCAAAAGTGGGGAGGCGGGGCGGCGGACTCGGCCTTGGCTTGCGTCGGCTTGCGTTGGCCCGCTGGATTATCCAGCGCCACTTTCGCGGGCTTGCCCCGGCTTGCCGACCTTAGCAGGGGCTTTGGTCTTCGAAAGTTGGCAGCGCACAGTGGGCCAGCAGACCCGTGGAGGCGGTCGAAATCCCGGACGCGTTTTGGGCTCCAGAGTCGCTGAATGGGACTCGAACCGAACGTGTGACCCCACCAATGGATTGCTCTCCGAACGAGGAATCCATTGGTGGGGTCACACGTTCGGTTCGAGTCCCACTTAGCGACTCTGGAGCTCAAAACGCGTCTAGAGTTCTCGCCGCCTGCACCGAGCGCCTGCGAAGCCGAGGGTGGGCCAGCCCGCCGAGCGACCCAGTGCGGCGGGCTGGCCTACCCTCGGCTTCGCAGGCGCTCCACTGCAAGCGACCGCTGCTGCCACTTGCGTCGGCAAACACTCCCGGTGCACCTGTGGCGGAAGGGGCTGCCAACCTCAGCCTGCACGCTGTGAAAATCCGCGCCTGAGTCCCCCAGCAGCATGCTAGCTGAGGTTGGCAACCCTTTCGACACGGGTGCAACGCGGGAATTTCGGCCTACTTGACACTTTCTGCGCGCCGCGAGCGCGGAGTTCCCTTTGGAGGCGCGGGGCTGGGCCGGGCCCGCCTACCCTTTGGAGCCATTTGGCACCGCTGCGCCGCGGCGCCGCCTTCACGGCAGACGCACAAGTGCTCCCGGTTCTGTGTCACTGTATAAAGGGCACATTCCATTTGGCGGCGCGGCACGGCGCGCACGGCACTCCGCACTGCATCTGCAGCGCGTCTGTCGTCTGCAACACTCCGGTCGTTCGCGAGCGCGGGGACGCGGCGGGGACGCGGGGAAGGGAAGGGGCCGGCAAGGTGCGCGCCGAGCTGCGCGGCGCGGCGGGGAGGCCGGGGGCGGGATCGAATTAGCAGTGGATTTGTCTGAGTGCTCGGGGCCCCGGGCAGGGCAGGCAGGGCGAAAGGGCCTCGCGAAAGAAACGGTGCGCTCCAGCCGTCGCAGCCGTCGCAGCCGTCGCCACAGCAATGCCAAGAGTGGCGACGGCTGGAGCCTCGCCTGGAGCCTCGCCTGGAGCCTCGCCTGGAGCCTCGCCTGGAGCCTCGCCTGGAGCCTCGCCTGGAGGGCCCGGAGCCTCGCCTGGAGCCTCGCCTGGAGCCTCGCCTGGAGCGCGGGAGTAGCAAGCGCCAAATTCCAGGGGCTTGAATAGCCACCCATCTTGCTGGATGCTGGACAAATTATAAGTTCGGCGGTCGGTGAGCGGCGTGCATGGCAACCTGGTAGCGCAGTGGTAAGAGTGCAGGGTTCCTGACTGGCAGGTCTCGGGTTCGAGACTGGTACCATGTGGAGTTTTTTTCGGCCACCGACTTCTTGAGGAGGTCTATCCGGAGAGGATTGAGTACCAGCGCTGGCGGAGCGGGCACCATGGCACTCCGGTGGCTCAGTGGATAAGAGCATGTCGTGGGAAGCGGCAGGTCCCGGGTTCGGGACCGGGAACGGCTACTATTTTTTCGGCGACCAATTGCTTGAGGAGGTATATCCACAGAAGATTCAGTACCAGCGCAGGCAGGGCGGGTGCCATGGCGTCCCGGTGGCTCAGTGGTTAAAGGCAAGATGTGGGAAGCGGCAGGTCCCGGGTTCGAGACCGACCAAAGTACCATTTTTTCGGCGACCAATTGCTTGGGGAGGTGTATCCAGAGAAGATTGAGTACCAGCGCAGGCAAGGCGGGTGCCATGGCGTCCCGGTGGCTCAGTGGTTAAGAGCTTGAGGTGGGAAGCGGCAGGTCCCGGGTTCGAGACCGACCAAAGTACCATTTTTTCGGGACCAGATTTCTCGAACGGCAGCTCAAGAGGAGTTGCGACATCGCCGCTGACAAGCTGGTTCGGTGGCTGAGCGGTCAGGGTAGAGGAGTTGACTAGACTCGGCACTCGGGGTCGCGGGTTCAAATACCCAATGTGACCCCTCTGAGGTAAGGCCTCTGAATCTGGACTCTCACTGTACCACAGAAACCGCGCGCACTTCGGGTGGGCCAGCCCAATACGAACCCACTAATCTGTCGAATTGCGCGGCAGGGAGCGTCGGATGAAGGCCCGGTTCCCATAAGAACACCGAAGCTGATCGGCGGGTCTCCTTGAGACTTTCGTATTGCCACTTTTTGCTGTCAATTTTTTTCCGGGAATGTTGCATCATTGCCCAGCTGGTCCTTACCTCCTCGTTGTGCGTCCAGTAGATGGCCGGCGGCGGCTCCGGACTGTGGTGCACGATGCAGGTCAGGTTCATGGTGCTCCCCTTGTTGATGAACATGTCCGGACCGCCGACGATGGTCGTGTTGGGTTCTGAAACAGACCGCAGACAGGCGTCAGTCCACTTCAATCATCGCTCTCTCTCCCTCGCACCCGTGGGGCGCACCCACACTGCGAGAGAGGCAGCGACACTCGTTCCATTCCGACGTGTAATCATCGGGCGCTTAGGTATATTAAACGCAGACACACTCAGTTTGCCGAAACTATTCCGGAACTTTGATCAGAGCCAGCGCGGCGGAACGGGGCGGGGCGCGGCGTACTCGTCCGGACAGAGGCACTGTTCGCCACAGACTTTCCAGCCTCGAGTCGTCGAATCTCAGAAATCGTCTTCGAATCCATCCAGTATGAGGAACTAATAAAATTTGATATTTTACCGCCGAGATATAGTGGGTCACGCCGGGTCAGTAGCGGGTCACTGTTGCCATCTGGCCGGGCTCTGGGCTTGGCACGGCTTGGCACGGCTTGGCACGGCTTGGCACCCCGAGGGGAAAAGATTGCGTTTTTAGCCGAGGTGGACGGGCGAAGGGGTCGCCTGAGCTAACCCCCCGAGTCAGCAGCGCTTCTACAATAGCCACCACACAACAATTGTCACTGGAGTGCACCACACCCCCGCGCTGCCGCCCCACCCCGCCCCACCCCACGCTCTCGTGTGAGCCTTCCAAGGACATCGCCAGCCAGCGAGCTGAGGCTTTCCAAAACCCCGGGCTTTCCTCTTGCTCTGCAGAACGGAAGGGGGAAGGGGTTAAGTGTGGGCCTCTCCTCGTCCCGCGCGCTCTGTCTATCGTCTTTTCATCCCCACCTGAGTGCTCCCATCTCGACCGAAGACGCACACGGGGACGCGGGGAGTGCCCGCGCACAGCGGCCAGAGGAACGGCGCGACCCGCCGAAACTCTAGACGCGTGCAGAGCTCCAGAGTCGCTAAACAGGACTCGAAACGAACGTGTGACCCCACCAATGGATTCCTCGTTCGGAGAGCTGTTCATTGGTGGGGTCACACGCTCGGTTCGGCTTCCTAGCAGTGTGCGTCCGAGAGAGGCACAACAACACGCCTCCACCCGAAGGCCGAGGGCCGAGAGCCGAAGGCGGTCAAAGGCCGAAACACGCGCCAAATTTCAAACTCCAGTTTGCGCCACTCCGCGCCGCCCCGCCGCCCCGGCCAACAGCTGGCTGCCGCTACACCCGTTTCCGGTGTGTGCGACGTCACAGGCGGCCGCCGAGGAGGGCAGGGAGGGTGGACCGCCAAAAGCAAGGCTACACTGTCGAAAATCAACTGGAATTCCCAAAATTTGTTTTTGGCAGTGTATGAGCGCGCGCCACCTAACTGACTTAACCCCAAGTCCATCTCGGGCGGGGAGGAGCGTGACCGAGACCGGATCAGCCTCCGCTGTCCTGCCCCATCAGTGGGCACAACGCGCCGGAGAGACTCAGACTCGTTCGGAGAGCAATCCATTGGTGGGGTCACACGCTCGGTTCGAGTCCTGTTCCGCGACTCAGGAGCTCAAAACGCGTCCTTGGCCGCCTCCACCGGTCTTCTGGCCCACTTTGGAGAGACTCATGGAGAGACACAGCACAGCGACGCGCTGGAGAGGCTCGGCAGAGACACTCCGCCGGGGAGCAGCGAGGCGAGTGTGAAGTTGCACACAGGTCCACTCTACGCTCGCCCAACACGGCTTACTGTTTTTTATGTGCTTCAGAAAATACCACACGCGGCCTGTGTGTGTGTGTGTGTGTGTGTGTGTGGTGTGGTAAGGGGCGAGCAATGAGTTGCGCATGGGTGTGCGTGGTGTAAACGGGCCTGTGTGTGTGTGAGTGTGTGTGAGAGAGAGAGAGTGTGTGCGGGCCTCCTAATGGATTCGGACCCCCTTCCATCCTTATATCGTCGCGGGGCTGACGTTTGACGCGGGGGCTGCGGGGGCCGCGGGGGCTGCGGGGGGCTTGGCGGGGGGGGGCTCCCTTGGCAAGGGCCGAAGCAGCCCTAGCCCCTTTGTGGGCCTGAAAGGGTTAGGCCGTGCTGCCTGCCGGGTACCCACAGCAAAGTTCACTTCCGCCACGCCCCGCCCCGCCCCGCCCCGCCCCTGCCCGTCCGTCGTCCGTGTCATAGCGAGGCAGTAAAGGCCCAATTGCACTAGGCCTGGACACTATACAGTTCTTGCGGTCCTTAACCCCTCGCATTCCGAGGCTGCTCCAAGCGCCCCGCCCCGCCCCGCCCCGCCCCGGCCGTGCCCGCTAATTCCTCCAAGATTTAACCCCAGCAGGGCCGCCGTAGCGATGCTCATTGCAATCTTCGCAGCCCCATCTCCAGGCCGCCCCGCCCCGCCCCGCCACTTCCGAGGGAATACACGAGCAAATTTGCGTTCATTAGTAACCTCCAACTTGAGATATTGTGCGTCCGTCTGGCATGCGCTGCCCCCTCCCCCTCCCCGTCACGCCCCCGCGAGCCCCACCGGCACTGCCACGCCGCTGCCGCGCTGGGACTCTGCCGCAGTCAAGGCCACCCAGCCAGCACGGCCTGGTACTCATCAAGCGAGTCAGCCGGTCGCCCTCCTCGCCGCCCCCAGGCCAGACCGGGGTTCGACTCCCGCCTCCGCCGCGCCGTTTTCCCGTTTTCGTCCCGGCGATATAGATTCCGAGAGCCTGTAAGGCCCTTTAAGGCAAACTTCACGCCTCTTTCCTAACTTGGACGTGCAACTTTTTCGCCCCTTAACACACACACACACACACACACACACACACACACACACACACACACACACACACACACACACACACACTGCCAGCTTTTTGAACAGGCAGTGCGTGGCACAGCCGCCGCTGGCTGCCGCTAGATGGCGCCGCTGTGGTTCGGACGTCCCGACCGCTATCTTGGAGGCAGCTGTCCCCCCCCCCCCCCTCCCGCTCCGCCCGGCGCAGTGCGTCCAGGACATTCTGATAAGCGAAATATATACTCGCTTTGCCGACCAGACAGACTCGGCCGGCGGTGGCGGTCCAGGGGCGGTCCGGCAAGGTGACACTCTTTTTGTGCATCTCATGCAGAACTCGGAGCCAGACCGCTGGCGGGCCAAGGAACCCAGAGGAACCCAGAGGAACCACTATCTGACCGCCAGTTTGGCGGACCGGGCGGGGCCGGGTTACGCTGCTAGAGTCTCTCTAGCTGCAGCCCTGCGGCGGCCCCGCAGTGTATTGGAACGGGCTCCGCCAGTGTGGTGGGGGGGGGGGGAGCGAAAGCGAGAGAGAGAGAGAGAGAGAGAGAGAGAGAGAGAGAGAGAGAGAGAGAGAGAGAGAGAGAGAGAGAGAGAGAGAGAGAGAGAGAGAGGTGGCGAGGAATCCGGGTCGGTAGGGAAGAGTGTCCTGGAAAAGGGCTCCCCGGGCAGCCGGCAGTGACACGCCAGCCCGCGCCAGCCGTACAAAGGACGCACGGGGCAATGGAAAGGGTACTCGAAAGACAACTTTCAAGGTCAGCACACACACACAACTACCAACACCGACACGCATACCAACCCACCTACACACACATAAGGGAAAAAAAGTTCCCGTGCGACGGCTAAAGAAGTTGACGCAGTGAGACATCAGGAAAGGGCCAAGCACCCCGAATAAAATACAGCAGCCTCACTGGCAGCGGGATTCTTCGCCATGCATCGCGGGTAACGGCACTCACACATACACACACACACACACACGCCGCGAAACACAGAGAAGAACAGCGAGTTACATACGCATGCCCTCCTGGGTTGCTGCCCGCCATGGCCAAGCCTGCCAAGCCCACTGCTGAACTGCGAGTCCTTTTAAAAGCCGCGGAACGCGCTCGGTGTAGTTAGGCTCTACATCAAACGCTTGGCCGCTCTGTCTCTCTCGCTCCGTGCCCGGCGGTGGCGGTGGCCGGCGCGCTGGCAATGCGGCGGGCGAGAGAGACAGCGTGGCAGCCGGAAATGAAGCCGAATGCAAATCGAACTGAAGCCCTTTTCAGCGACAGGACCCGCCTTCCTCAATCACCGGCCACGTCGCCCTGTCTCTCTCGCACCCCTGCGGCACGCCCCACGAGTGCGAGAGAGACAGAAGCTCATCGGCCCGAACGGCTTTGACCCACCCGCTGACCCAGCTCCCTACCCACAGTGGGCCAGAGGACCGGTGGAGGCGGCCAAAACTCGAGACGCGTTTTGAGCTCCAGAGTCGCTAAACAGAACTCGAACCGATCGTGTGACCCCACCAATGGATTCCTCGTTCGGAGAGCAATCCATTGGTGGGGTCACACGTTCGGTTCGAGTCCTGCTTAGCGGAGCTGGAGCTCGAAACGCGTCTCGAGTTTTGGCCGCCTGCGCCGGTCTTTCTCTGTCGGGCGATGCGCTGCGGTTTGGGCCGTCCGCTCGGATAACGCCCTGATCAAGAGGAAGGCAGTGGAGGGGGAGTCTTCTCAAGGCGAGTGAAGAGGGCCAGAGGGCCGGCGGGCGGCGGCAGGCTCGGCAGCAGGCGGCGTGCCCGGGACGGACTTTGTAAAATGCAAATTGCTTTGGTGCAGCGGCGGCGGCATAAAAACATGACGAATCTCATCAGTGGGCCGTGAAGTGAAGCAAGTTTGAACAGATGTTTCCGCTGCGCTTGGCTCGCCTCGCCTCCGGGAAACACACTGCGAGTGAGCTGCGCTGTCGAGCGATGCCGCTTTTTCCCTCTTGCTCCGTCTCTCTCGCACTCGCGGTTGCGTCGCAGCGGTGGGAGAGAGACAGAGCGAGGAGTGAGAGCAGCGGAAATCACTCCAGTGTTCCTGTTCCGACAAGCTCCGCGATGCTTTGCTGGCCTCGCAAACGGACGGCATCACCCAGGTACCACCCGCCCCGCCCCCCCGCCCCGCCCCGCTCTGGACTCCAAGTTCCCTTTTCCTGTTTCGACTCCAGAGGGCGACTCCAGCAAGGGGTCTGTGCGAGGCGCGCAGTCCTCGTCATCCTTGCAGCAAAACTTGGGTTCCTCTCAACACTTTCTTTCGCAAAAGTCGCCACCACGGCCCTATCGTCCGTCACCCCCGCGACAACAACAACAGCAAC